CCTGTTGAGCAAGGAGCCCGATGCAGGACTCAATCCCAGGACCCTTTGACATTTTTAAAGAGTACAAGCCAGATATTTTTCTTTTTAAAGATTTTATTTATTTATTTGAGAGAGACACAGTGAGAGAGGGAGCACAAGCAGGGGGAGTGGGAGAGGGAGAAGCAGGCTTCCCGCCGAGCAGGGAGCCCAATGCGGGGCTCGATGCCAGGACCCTGGGATCACAACCTGAGCCAAAGGCAGACGCTTAACGACTGAGCCACCCAGGGGCCCCCAGGCCAGATATTTTGAGGAGTGTCCTTCAGTCTGGGTCAGTCTACTGTTTCCTCATGATTAGACTCAGGTTGTGCACTTGGGGCAAGAATCCCGCAGAAGGCATGTTGGTTCCTTCTCAGTACATCATATCAGGAGGCCCTGACGTCAGGTTGTTCCATTACTGGTAATGGTAACTTTCATCACTGGCTTAAGGTGGTATCCACAAGTTTCTTTGGTATAGAATTGCTCTTTTCCTCCCTGGAAAGTAATAAACTCTGACCATAAACATTGACTTTTCAGAATGTTGGCCGAGCTGTGCTGATGAGGAGGCCAGAGACCCCTCTCATCATGTGGGTGGGCTCTGTTCACTATGCCTGGAGTCAAGTGGCTTTAGAGAAACTAGAATTAGATTCCAAGATGTGGAGGAAAAAAGTCCTTTGGGGTCTGCTTTGCAGTAAACTCACATCCAGAAGTGTGACAGCCCTCTCTCAACACTTATGTTTGCTGCTCTACTTACAGAGGGGTTTGCTCATATTTCCTACCAGTCATGGAACCTCAGAATATTATATAATCCTACCTTGTGCACCAGGAAGACCTCTCTCTACTACCCCAGCAAAATTTGTGAATCCCCTTTGTTAGCTCTTTAATCATTGGAGGTATTGAATTTTTTTTTTAAAGAAAGTGGCTGGATTTATTTTTCTTTTAAGATTTTATTTGTTTATTTGAGAGAGTGCACAAGCAAGGGGAGTGACAGAGGGAGAGGGAGAAGCAGACTCCCTGCTGAGCAGGGAGCCCGATGTGGGGCTCGATCCCAGGACCCCAGGATCACAAACTGAGCTGAAGGGAGACACTTAATCGACTGAGCCACCCAGGAGGCCTGGAGGTATTGAACTTTTAAAAATTAAAATGGGAAGCCTATAAAAATGCAAGATGAAGAATCAAATGACTTGGGGGCCAGCCCTGGCTGTCTTACTGGTAACATCTCTTGGGAAAGGTCCTTTAAATGCTTAGGACTTTTTGGTTTTCTTATCTCAGATATGAGTAATAGTAATTTCCCACCTACCTCACTAGGTTATTGTGGCCGTCAAATTGATACTTTTTGAGTAGATGAGAAAGTACTTCTCTGTGAAAGCATGGTAAGTTCCCCAATCAATTCATACTTAATTTCTTTCAACAGCTAAAGATACCTATTTCTAGGAATTTGTAAAAAAAAAAAAAAAAAAAACAACAACAACAACAACTTTGCCAGACTTCATTTGGTTTGCAGTAGTGAGAAGGGCTGGCCAGAGAGCTTGGAGCCTGCCAGACCAATATCACCTGGTTCAGGATGCCTGTGCTCAGCATCTCTTGCAAGAACCTAACAAAGTCCTAAATCCATATAGAAAAGTAGCAAGACAGGATGAGCAGGAGACTACATAAATGGGGATAAATAGGAAATTTTTAAGATTGTATTCTGTATTTTGGTTACTTGCTGTTTAAAAAATAATCTGTAATGCCTACACTTCTCTAATTTAAAGGTTGCGTTTGTATGTGCGTGTGTGTGTGTGTGTGTGTTTATGTGTGTGTGTTCTAATTCTGCTATTTACTTAGAATAGAACCTCACAGTCTGTGGTGTGAACAGAACCATTGCATGACTTTTCTGTTGAAGCAAGACTGCTCAGGGCTAAGCTGACCTGAGACTGTCAGACCTCCCCCATCCAGGCCATTCTGGCCTTTTCTCCCTGGGACTGTAGTACTGCCATGCATCTCCATCTACAGGTTCCAGGCAGACTGAGGGTGTGACTTCATCGCATTCCATTCCCTTCTGATAGTGAGCCATTTAAACCAGACCCTGGGGTGTATCAGGATCCACGTGCAGGTGTTCTGGCTGCTAAGGCGACTATAGAATGGATTGGGCCTGCAGCCAGTTCAGGCTTCTTACTCACTCCCCCCATTCCATCCCTGGGAACCCTCATGGTGGGAGCTATGTCTGCAGAAGAGCTTCTCATCCATCTCCTCATTCACTGGTAGAGGCACCAGCACACTGCAGGCCTCCTTGGGTAGAGCCCACTTCTTCAGGCACTGCTCCAAGAAGTTCAGAGTGCATGCTTGCTACAGGCAAGTCCCAGAGTGAATGTGGTTGGACTGGACTGCCTGTGTCCAGCACCTTTGCTCAGTCTCACCAGCCGTGAGGGATCCAGCTGTGACTCTCTGTCAAAACACATAAGCCACTACTACTTACCTCTCAGGAAGCCCATAGTTGTGGCTTGGGGTGACTGTGGGGATTAGGACACCGCCTGTCCAACCAGAATAGCTCTACTCTTATCAGCTTTATACAGATAGACTGTGTGGGGGGTAGCTGTATGTATGTGTCACTCAGGTGCTTCTCACCTGGAGGTGACCTTGTCCCTGAGGGGACATTTGACAATGTCTGGAGACATTTTTGGTTGTTACAGCCTGGAGTTGAGGGTGACAATAGCTATTGGTAAGCATCTGGTAAGTTGAGGCCAGGGATGCTGCTAAACATCCTACATGCATGGGACAGCCCTACAACAAAGAATGGTCCAGCCCCAAATGTCAGTAACAGCAGGGTTGAAAAACCCTGGTACATATGGATACGTATATGGAGAGGGCAGGATTCTGTGCATGTCTTTCTTTTCTCTTCTTCTTTTTTTTTTTGTAAGAGTCTAGGAACAAAATTAGAAAATCAGGGTTAAATGGTGCAACTGGAAAGAAACACCTGGTTGCCGAGAAGTCCCTTAGGAATTGTGGGCCTGAGTCAGCTGAGCCCAAAGGCAGAGTGAGAACAGTCTGCAGGGAGGAGGCACCATCCATGTGGACAAGTTGTCACAGGGGTTCTGTGTGGCCCTAAGCCTGCAGGATGATGGCACAGGGGAGTTGGTGTGGCCAGTATGAAACTATTCTTTCTGGGGCCAGAGCTGTCCAGCTTGGGAGCAGACTGTTCATAAAGGCAGACAGCCTACCATGGAAGTGAGACCTGGACTGATTTTCAGTAAATCAGTAAAACGGTGGATACTGAAACAGCTGAATTTTAAAAATTCAAATCAGGTTCAAGTTGTATTCATTGGATCGAGTATGACACCATTATGTGGCCCTCAGTCTGGCTTTGACTAAGAGAAGGTGGTTTCCTGGGCATGTGTAGCTGTCCTTTTAGCATGAGAGCATCACTGGAAAACTGGCCTGCGTTTTACCTAATCCACATACCACTTGACAATTAGTTTCCATCTCAAGACCAAGTATAATGTTGATTTGATCATGTTTTTCTTTACCATCAGAACCTGATTAGGTAACTCTTAAGCCTGTGGTGATAAATTGGCCTTTAATATGTTGAGTTGCTTTTTTTTTTTTTTTTTGCTGTTTTCCTAGATCAAAAACAGTTGAACATTGGCAGTTCCATATGGTTCAATCTGCTACAAGATTGAGAGTGACGATTTGTAGTTTATGTACAGATTACTTCTTCCTAACGGAACTCTGCAAATGCTTCCTCCCTGTGCAACCTTCTGGGTAAAATCAGCTTCTGAAGCTAGGTTGTTACCTGTATCCTCAACACCTAGCACGCACCAGGAGCCAAGCCTAGACCAGTGTACTTATAATGGACCTTTTTTCAACATAAGACAGGCTCCTGCATTTTAACAAAGCAATATTTCCCTGAGTGACAGTAGGCTTGTCCTCAGCTTTCACATCTTTCCAGTAGCAGGAGAGATTCTTTTAAACCTTAAGAACCTCAAAAAAAGGGCACCTCTTCTCTCCACCTCTTGGATGAGTTTGCTCCTTGGCATATAAAAAGGAACTGGATATCAATCATACTTCAGTAAAGGTGAATTTAAAAAAAAGGAACCAGGGACCTTGAAGGCATTATGTTGGGTGAAATAAGCCAGAAACAAAAGGACATATACTGTATGATTTCACTTCTGTGAGGTACCTGGAGTAGTCAGATTCCTACAGAGAGAAAGCAGAAGGGTGGTTGCCAAGGGCTGAGGGAGGCAGGAATAGGGAGTTAGTGTTTAATAGGTACAGAGTTGTGGAGATGGATGGTGGTGATAGTTGAACCACATTGTGAATGTACTTAATGCCACTGAACTGTACACTTAATGGCTAAAAGGCACCTGGGTGGCTCAGTCAATTAATGGCCCAACTCTTGGTTTCGGCTCAGGTCATGATCTCAGGGTCATGGGAACAAGCCCCATGTCAGGCTCCATGCTCAGCACGGAGTCTGCTTGAGATTCTCTTCCTCTCCCTCTCCCCCTCCCCCCTCACGCCCCTTGCTCTTTCTGTCTCTGTCTTTGTCTTTCTAAAATAAATAAATAAAATCTTAAGAAAGAGAATGGCTAAGATGGTAACTCTTATGTGTATTTTGCCACAATAAAAAAAAAAAAAAACTAGCTCATCCATTGCCATATGCTGAAGCCAGATCCAACCCTGGTATTCATTTGAAAAGAGGTAAGATGGTGCCTAACACTTTATCCTTACATTGTCAGTCAAACTTCAGTGAAGTTAGGACATGGCTGGGCTTCCTAAAATCTTGTCCCTTCCACCAGGGATATCTTACAGATATACCTATATTGCTATTAGGGTGATAGTACTTCAAGGACTTTTGAGTGCATGCTAAGCCTTCCACTTGTTCCTCTTGAAGGATGCAATTGTTTATCCTTTTGGATGGGTTTTTGGAACCAAGCCTTTTAGGAACCCAGAGAAGGTTCTGTGGTCAGGCTCAGTAATCATCTTCTGGCACGTTTTTGGCTTTCCAGAGCAACTTCAAAAGCATATCCACAGTCTCCAAAGAATACGAAGCCGCCATACCCAGGGTCTCCTGTGAAGTACCGCTTTCCCACCTTTCCCAGCCAGGAAACGCCCAAGAGGAAAGCAGAGAAAGAGAAGAGCAATAAGGAAAGGGAAGGTGCCCTGGCTCAGCAGGCAGCTGGCCTGTGTGGAGAGGAAACCCCAGAGAAACATGTGGTGGACAAGCATGTCACTGAGAAGCATGTGGCCGCAGGAGGGAAGGCCGAGAGCAGCGGAGGTAAGCCCTTCTTGTCGATGCTGCCCCAGGGCTTGGATTTACAAGCTGGTTCTCTCTGCCTGGATCCATGTTGGAGTCTCATGTGGGGGTGGGAGGGAGAGAGGGAAGGAGATTTTTCCCTGGGACAACTTCATGCCCTTACGCTGTTTTCTCAGGCTTGCACGTTGCCCCTGAATCCTTCCCCTTGGTCTCCTATGGGTCTCCTGGAGGAGGGACTGACACTGGTCATGGCTTTGGAAGCTCATGGGGGTTTTGAGCTGCTTCCAGTCAGCATCAGCACTTCCCACAGAGAAGGTCTTCCTTTAGTCCTTCAAGCTTTTCAGCTAGATGCAGTGAGTTCACCCAGATGGGCACTGCGGTGGTGGCTCCTGTGTGTGTATCATGCTATCCACCCTGTCTCTCCTCCCCACCTTTCCACTACCCTCCACTGGGAAATATGTTCACAGGGTCACAGCCATCCCATTGCAACTTCTCTGCTCAGTGGCTAATTGTGCTCATCCCAGAAGCATTTCCCATCACCCGCTGAGTTGGACTTTTTTTTTTCCAAGTGGCAGCTACCCTTGTGATTGCAATCAGTGTTTCATTTCCCATGATCTTTTCCTCTGATGCAGCCTCAGGGAAGCCTACAGCAGGCACCACTGATGCAGGAGAGGCTGCAAAGATCCTGGCTGAAAAGAGACGACAGGCCCGGCTACAGAAGGAGGAGCAGGAACGACTGGAGAAGGAAGAACAGGACAGGTATGGGGCTGCTCAGCGTTTCGGTGCCATCTTGTGTAAAAGGCTGTGGTAGAAAGAGCAACTCACCTTTCTTTTTAGGGTTTGACTATTGATAAAAACTGGGCAGAAGTACAGGTCTGCATGGCAGGTGTTCAGGAGACTGTGTCTTCTACTAGATATAATTAACAGCAATGGAACATTGCCCTTTTAAGACTACCTGGAAACTCATAGCTCCTGGATCTAAATGTTACCAATGGCTTCCCATTCTCCCTTTAGACTCTAGGACCAGCGAGGCCTTGTAGAGCTATCAAGGGAGTTTTTTTAGCTTCGTTCATGGAATGAGATTCTCCCTGAAGATAGGAGGTTCCAGAGGTAGAGATCTTGATTCTGCTTCCCAAATCATGTTTTTTCCTTAAATTATCCTAAATTGCACCCCCAGGTGAGAGGGAAGAAGGTTGACCAAAGGCCCCTAGGTGGGGTGGAAGCTGATGTCATTGTCCACAAGCAGCAAAGTAGAGGGACTCCATTCCTAGAGCACAACAGAGGTCCTTAAATATGGGAGGGAGGTGTCGGAACCATCCGGGGAGTGCAGTGAAAATACACAGGCCTAGGCCCTACCCTGTTTCAGTAGCTCGCCAAAGTATGAGAATCGCTGTGTTGTTAGTACCAGGGCACTTTGGTCAAAGTACAGATAGTTCTGCCTTTTCTGATCTTTGTATTCAGAAAAGAATGCATGTTGAAGGACAAGGTAGATTTTATCATTAAAATGATAAGGAAGCTTTTAGGGTAATCACACAGTGCAGTCCAATATGTTGAGAGAATTAACTTGACAGAAAGCAAGCCATGCCGCAGCACTTCAAGACTGGTACTGAATTTCGAGTGATAAATAATAGAATAGCCTTGATCCTTAAGTGACCTTGGCAAGTCTTTTGTGGTCTCTAATTACAGGTTTGCTGATTTATTTATTTTTTTTTTAAGGCTGGGCAGTAGGTCTTAATTATCACTTCTTCAAATTCTGTACTTTTCTGATGATTTTCCCACCTCCAGCCTTCTGGTCAACAGTGACACATCTTTTTGTTGAGTGGTGTGTTTGGGCTGGTTTGAGGGGGCCATAGGATGTGTGAAGAGAGGTCACAGGAGGTAAAGATGAATCACAGGACCTCAAATGACAGGCCTTGGTGATTACAGTTTCTAAGCAGGTAGGTAACATGATTGTGACTGTATGCTTAGGAAGGTGAAGTTCTTTACCTTCTAACAGTCACCTTCTCTCTCACATTTCCCGCACAGCCCAGCTCCTAAAAGGATTGATTGTACTTGCTGTCTTTATTTCTTCAGCTCATATTCATACCTCACACTCACATTCCTCCCAATTGCCAGACTCCTAATCCATTTCTTTGTTGACTTTGACCTTGTCAGGCTTGCCCTTGCTTCTTTGGCCTCTCCTTCTCGGTCTCTTCTGTCCACCCAGTATCCTCTCACATGTTGCCTGGACTCTCAACCCTCAGTCCTTGGCCAGCTTCACCTAACAAGCTCTCCGTGAGCGGTGGTGCTCCCTCCTGTTCGGCCATTTTCCTCTGGCTTCAAAAGATTTGGGGCCCACATTTCACACAACGGTTTCATGTTGAGCATTTGAAGTGCTAAACCAACTCTGCTCCCATCTCCTCTTCTATCCTCATTTTCCCTTTGCCTCATTTACCATCTGTTTCTGAAGCTAATTTCTTGTTTTGAAAACCTTCAGTACTTCCTGGTACAAGGGAGGCAATAAATAACACATGCACACTGGTGACCTCTGACTCTCTGCCTGTGGCCCGGTCTCTTGCTAGGGCTGTGCTGTCCACTGCCATAGCCTCTATTCCCATGCAGCTACCAAAATACAAATGCAGTAAAATTCAGTTCCTGCATTTTTAGTGCTCAATAGCTACATGGCTAGCAGCTACCACATTGGATAGCACAAATCTCTAGAACATTTCCCTCACCACAGGAAGTTCTCTTGGATAGCACTGGTCTAGAACCTAGAGGCCATATCCCAGCTGCCTTATGCTTTCATCTAAGTGTGTCCCAATGCATCTCAAATTCACCATGTCCAGAGCAGGTTAGGAGAGAAGGTGCTGAAGGATGGGGTGAGAACAGATCAAAGAAGTGCAAGTTCAGGATGTTGAAGATTAAGCTTTTTTTTTTTAATGAAAACTTTTAAGCACACAAGGAGAGAGAATCATGAAACCCACACCTTGTTCACAGATTTAGTAGTTCAAGGCTAAGCATGTGTCAGGGATGTGATGCAAGTTCAAGAGGGGCCAAGGGCTGGAGGATGAGAGATGGGGGTCATGACACAAAGACCCTCACCAGTGGCTATTGACAGGGATAAGGGATGCATATGCTAAATCCTGAATGATGACCATGGTGCATAGTTTTTTGGTACTTTTTTTTTTTTAATTTTTTTTTAAGATTTTATTTATTTGAGAGAGAGAGAATGAGAGACAGAGAGCACGAGAGGGAAGAGGGTCAGAGGGAGAAGCAGACTCCCCGCCGAGCAGGGAGCCCGATGTGGGACTCGATCCTGGGACTCCAGGATCATGACCTGAGCCGAAGGCAGTCGCTTAACCAACTGAGCCACCCAGGCGCCCCGTTTTTTGGTACTTTCTACCTGGTAAGGAAAAGGGATAGGTTTGGAGTAAATGACAGGAATTAAGACAGAGGAGTGATAGGACTGCACATGGGTCTTGTGAACTCCAGAGGGAACTTGGTCAAGATGGCAAGGGCAAGGGGGTGGGGCAGCCTGCAGCAGCAGGACATTGGAGAAATGACCAAATCCACGTTCTCTGGTTTCTTAAGCAGATAGGGAAAGAATGTTTGTCCTTGGAGAGGATATTGAGGGACTCAGCTTCACATAAGAACCTAGTTTTCACCTACTTTGGGAGAAGCAGAGTATGGTTAACGGAGGGTATTTCGTCTGTAACAGGAGGGACAAGCAAGGGCTAATGGGCCTGTGGGGAGGAATGTGTTATACATGATGGTGAGGATTAGGGAGACTTAGGGGCCAAGAGGATGTGTCACTTGCTGTATGTGTGTGTGTGCGTGTGTGTGTGCCTGCGCGCACACATGCATGCATTGGGCACCTCTGAAGTCCTCATGGTAAAACAGAAGAAACAGATATGGCTTTTCGGATCCTGAAGATGAAGATAAAGATGAAGTAGCTTGTGCATTAATTCATACACAGTGTACCCTTTGTGTATTAACTTCTTGGGGACAGTCAAACCGTCTCATCAAATGAGGGATAAGAACTAAAACAGTGCTCTGAATTGATCTTTGGATAAGTTTTGTTATTGACACACCCATTTTGATACTCTTGTGTTAGACATACTTGGTCTTTCATTGAGGAATCTAAGAACTGGAGTTTCTTTCTGATTAGGCCCTGTAATGCTCTTGTCCAGAGTTGTCCGGAATGTATGTTAATAATTTCAGTTATTAACTTTTAGGCACTGCAACTTTTGCTAATATAGAATATGTTGTGCACTATTAGTCTTGGGCTAATGTCTTTCAGTATTTCTTTACCTTTTAAAACATTTCTTTGGTGATACATAGGCTAATTGCCTCCACAGTTCCTGCAAGATAGGAGGATATTCTTTTTACGTCCTGATCTGGGGCAGAGGGGGAGGGAGAGAGAGAATCTTTTTTTTTTTTTTTTTGAACAGTTTATTTATTTGAGAGAGAAAAAGACCATGAGCAGGGGGAGGGGCAGAGGGAGAAGCAGATTTCCCGCAGAGCAGGGAGGAAGCTTGATGCAGGGCTCGATCCCAGGACCCTGGGATCATGAGCTAAGCCGAAGGCAGTCGCTTAACAGACTGAGCCACCCAGGTGCCTCAGGTGCAGTCTTGCCCATATGTCACATTGCTGTTCAGTAACATACTGTAAGATGAGTATGATTACTTACATTTTTTTATGGATGAGGAAAGTAACCCACTTGTGAACAGGAAAAATGTTAAAAATGTAAAAACAAGCACTTAGACTTTATAGGGTTTTCCCTCACTGCTTAGAGCTCTTTATCATTCTATTATCAACCATTCATCTGTGGATGAAAAATTTCTAAATGTCATTTAATTTTCATATAGCAAAGAATAAAAAAAGAGATTTTTTAACACCTCATTTTTTAAAAAGATTTATTTACTTATTTTAGAGAGCATGATGGGGAGAAGGGCAGAGGGAGAGGGTGAGAGAGAATCACAAGCAGACTCCCCACTTAGTGTGGGGCTCAATCTCATGACCCTGAGATCATGACCTGAGCCAAAATCAAGAGTCGGATGCTTAACTGACTGAGCCACACAGGCACCCAAAGCTAAAAGAGATTTTTAAAGATTGGTAAAACAAATGAGAAATAGATGTTTTAATTTCTATATTAAATATAAGGGTCTGTTGAGCATTTTCTTCCAGTTGCTGCTTCAGAAGTCACGTAGCAATTGGAACCCAAAGTGTATTTGAGCTCATAGTCTCTGCTCTTAAATTGCTGACTGGCACCGTTGTAGCCATCGAGACACTTTTGGGTTTTTTTTTCAGCTCCAATTTTAAATATTTATTTCACTTAGTTTTTAAAAGAATTGTCATTAAGTAAGAATGATGGGGCTGTGGTCATTTGTAGGTTGACTAGGGAACATTTGTGTCTTCATTATGGTATGTTCACAAGTCAGTACATCATTACTCTTTGTCTTAACAGAATTTAAAAGTCAACTATATATATATTATATATATATATTTATTTCTTGGTAAATGTATAGACTGAAGTGGCTTTCTGGGAAGGATGAGTCATTTTCTTGAGTGGATACTAATTCGAGTGCACATATCTGTGACTGTGTTGTACCTTACGCTCCCTGTCAACACACAGTTCTTTGGCACTTTGCCTTTTGAGAATGTCATCATCTCCTAACAGTTATGTTCTCAAAAGGCTGGAGAGAGAGGAATTGAAAAGAAAGGCAGAGGAGGAAAGACTTCGCCTAGAAGAGGAAGCCCGTAAGCAGGAAGAGGAAAAGAAGCGGCAGGAAGAGGAAGAAAAAAGAAAGGCAGAAGAGGAGGCTAAGAGAAAGGCCAAGGAGGAGCTGTTATTAAAAGAAGAGCAAGAAAAGGAAAAACAAGAAAAAGAAAAGCAAGAAAAGGAAAAACAAGAAAAAGAAAAGCAAGAAAAGGTCATGATTGAAAAGCAGGTACTGTATGAGTCTTCATATGGACTCTCCTTATGGGCTTTAGTTAATATTAGGTAAAATGAATTAAATTTGAATGACTCATAATATTTACTTGAAGTCTTTAACTGGGCTGGCTATTAAGTATGAGTTACTTTGGGCAATAAAAGTGAAGTTTATAGTGTTTGCTGTATGTCAGTTCACATTCCCCAAAAGGTAGACCCTAAGATGAGAATTTGGGTGCCAGTAATTTATTTGGGATAAGATCCCAGGAAGCTGGTAGGGAAGTGAGAGGAAATCCTGTATAAGTGAACTGATTAGTAGCTTATTGTGGACCACTGGGAGTTAGTCCCTTTGGATTCTCTAAGAGACTGCAATATGCCTTAGAATTGTCCCTCTGAGGGGTGAGGAAACTGGATTAGTTGTGAACTCTTGCCTCTCATGGTTGTAGGTCGTTACTTGGGGAATTAAGTTTCTGAAACTCCTGGGGTGCCTGGGTGGCTCATTTGTTTGGGCATCCAACTCTTGATTCCGGCTCCAGTTGTGGTCTTGTGCTCATGGGATCGAGCCCCATTTCAGGCTCCACGCTCAGTGTGGAGTCTGCTTGGGATTCTTTACCTTTTCCTCTCCCGCCCCCTTTGCCCCCCCCCCCCGCTTGCATTTGTGCATGCATGCTCTCTCAAATAAAATCTTGAAAAGAAAAAACAAAAGTGTCTGAAACTCCTGACCAGATGCACATGGCTAGAAACTGCCCTCAGACACAGAAAGACTTTGGCAGGCAGTATGGGAGCGATCTGCAGGTAATTTGCATGGTGGACTGAGGGTATATGAGTGAGGCCTGGCCATGTCTACTGTGTCATAGAGCAGGCTGTGTAAATCCACACCGAATATTGAAACAACATCCACTTTGAGGTAGATGATAAAGTAGAAGGACATGTGCATATCCCAAGGATTCCCACTTTCTCAGCTTAGTAAAGTCTGTGCCTTGGTTTTCCTGTTTCTGTCAGAAGGAAGCAGCAGAAGCAAAGGCCCAGGAGGCAGCTAAACAGATGCGTCTAGAAAGAGAACAGATCATGCTGCAGATTGAGCAGGAGCGACTGGAGAGGAAGAAGGTAAGAGCTAAGGATCAGGAGGAGTTAAGGTGAGGCAAGAACAGGAAATGAATCTAGTTCTGTTCTTTAGTTTTTGGGTAATCTTAAAATTATCTAATTAGGTCAAGTTTGTTGGTAGTGCTGTTCAGCTCTTCTCTCTCTCCATTGGTTTTCTGTCATCTTGTTCTATTAGTAACGGAGAGAAGAGTGTTAAAAGCTCTATTTGTGATTATGGATTTATCCATTTGTTTTATATGTTTTTGAAGCTCTGCTGTTAGGTGAATACATATTTCAGATTATTAAATTTTCCTGTTGAATTGACCCCTTTATCACTAATATATCTTTATCTCCAGTAATAATTGTCTTAAAGTCCACTTTGTCAGACTTTTTATGGTTAGTGTCTACATGGTAAATATTTTTCCATCCTTTTACTTTGAACCTATTGTGTCCTTATAAGTATGTCTCTTGTAAACAGCATATATTTAGGACTTGTTATTTTAATCCAATTTCACAGTCTTTGTCTTTTCATTGGAGTGTTTCGTCCATATACATTTAACGTGATTAGGGATAAAGTTGGGTTTAAGGAGGCTGATGATAAAGTTCCATTCCCAAGGTGTCCTAGATCCAGCCCAGGCTTTGTACTACTTTAGGCCTGAGAGCTAGGAGACCAATCTCTGGCCTCCCCTCCTGACCTGCACCTCAGCTTCACTTTCTCTAGGGTGGTCCTCTAGAATGGCAAGTGGTGATTTGTTGATTTTTAGGTAACCTACAGAGAGGAAGGAAAAAGATGGGATCTAAACTGTTGATTCTAGATACTAGTTCACTTCTCAAGCATTTGACCTTGTTCATAGGGCAGAGGTGTATATCTGCAAAACCAATGGAAAACCTTTCTGTACTCATTATCCTCTGCTAATGTTTCTCTTTTATAAGTTTTCTGACATATGAATTTGCATATAGACCCAGCTGCTTTTATATGTATTTGGTATTACAGTCCTCTTACCTGATTCTTTTTGGTTTCCAGAGAATTGATGAAATCATGAAGAGAACAAGGAAGAGTGATGTGTCTCTAGAAGTGAAGGTAAGTGTTCAGAGTGCCATTTTAGTAGTTTATGGACTGAGGAGAAAAGAATGGCACAGTATCTTCAGTGGAATTGTAGGTCTTGGAGAGGAACAGCCAGAAAAATTGAATTCTTCCTACTTTGTTCCTGACTAGATTAAGGAGGCTCTATGTACCTGGAAGGGAAGAGAAGTCTAAAAGGAGTTTCAGAGACAGGGTGGTAATGAAAAATTACCTCCGAGAAGTGGGGGTAGGGATGCAGAGAGAGGCACAGTAGTCCCTGAATAAAACAGAAAATGGTGGGGCGCCTGGGTGGCTCAGTCATTAAGCGTCTGCCTTCGGCTCGGGTCATGGTCCCAGGGTCCTGGTATCAGGCCCCGCATCGGGCTCCCTGCTCCAGAGAAGCCTGCTTCTCCCTCTCCCACTCCCCCTGCTTGTGTTCCCTCTCTCTCCGTGTCTCTCTCTGTCAAATAAATAAATCTTAAAAAAAAAAAACAGAAAATGGTGACATATTAATAAGGGAAACACAGCTGATTTGTAATAAACTCAAAAGATTCCAAGAATTACCATGGAACAGGCAGATGGCTCAGCACAGTTCCAAATATCCTTTGATGCTTTTCAGAAGCACTTGTCTTTCTGTGTAAAGTCATCTTTCCCTGTATTTGTTTTCAGAAAGAAGACCCAAAGGTGGAGCTTCAGTCTGCTGTGTGTGTGGAAAAAGAGACAAAACCAGTTGTCCTGAACAAAATAGGTGAGTGTGAGAACTGGTTCTCGGGTTCTTCCTTTCAGCAGGTACAGGCTCATAACACTTCCTGCGGGGGACAAACCCCCTTGGGCCTTAAGAGCATTACTGCTTGAAGGGGACTGTGTAGTTTCCCTTCTGGTGGAGTCTCCATCTCTACCACATGTCTGTCAGCTCCATTCAGAAAGTGGTACTCTACTAGTCCCAGCACAGAAAGCTGGCCACCTCCTGGCCCATACTACTTTCCAAGGAGTTTAACAGCTGGTCAGGTTCTATTCAGAACTGACTCTGCTATTCTACAGTGGTTTCTACTGTCTTCCAGACTTCTGGGCAGTCCAGCTCTTCTCTCTCGAGTATACTTAAAACTCCTTAGATGTGAATATATCATGGCAACCAAAGTCAGAAGGGCGTGTCCATCTCAGAGGCACTCTACATCTCTCCTTTGCCTTGGGGCTCAAGAAAATGCTATACAAAGCCTGGGGACCTGCACAGTATAAAACACCAAGCCTCCTGGGTGGGTCAGGAGCCCTGCACAGAGACTGATGATGTCATTAGTCTTCTTTTCCCTGTGTGAAGCTGATGACATGGATTTTTGTTTGTTTGTTTTGCAAAAGATGTTGCACTGTTGGTAAAGCAGAGGATTAAATTAATTGCCTCTATATATTTCCTCTGTTATTTCATTGTTCTGGATATTTTATGGTTAACAGAATGATTTTGTCTTCTCAATCAGAAATAAATGGATTAAACACCTGCCAGGAAGTTAATGATATGGGGCGTACTGCCCCAGAAACTTTTCCTCGAGACATTTTCTCTAATGGGCTTAAACCAGTTGGGGGACTTGTTCATCTGGACACCCTTGATGGGAAATCAAACAGTCTGGATGACTCAACTGAAGAGGTTCAGTCTATGGATGTGAGGTAAGTTGATTTATTTTGCATGTGAGCCTCATCTCTTCTCCAAACACCTCCACTGCCTCTTCATTGACTTTTTTCATCTTTTATACACCTGAATCAACTAAAGTAGGTTCCATTGGCATTCAGAAAAGCTATCAGTGGTTTATTAGTGTCTTAGGTCGGTTCCTTAGAAGTAGAGCCTGGGAGGGGTGCCTGGGTGGCTCAGTGGGTTGAGTGTCCAACTCTTGGTTTCAGCTCAGTTCACAATCTCATGGGTCATGGGATTGAGCCCCATGTCCGGCTCTGTGCTCAGCGGGGAGTCTGCTTGAAGGTTCTCGCTCTCTGCCCCTCCCCCTCTTGTGCATGCATACGTGTGTGTGTGTGTGTGTGCACGTGCATGTGCTCTCTCTCTCAATAAATATTAAAAAAAGAAGTAGAGCCTGGGATAGGTATTCTAAGGCATGGGATTTATAGGGAAATAGTTCTCTGGAGCAAGTGGAGGATGGGAAGCAGGATGGGGCAGGGGAAGTCACTAAGCAAGGATTATTTCAGCTGATCCTATGGGAGCTCTGGAGGATGAATTTCTACCAGAGAGTGGTCTGATTAAGGGAGGCAGCCTTTGTGCCACTGTATGCATCAGTCATTGAGTGTGGTCACCCAAGGTGGGGGATGCAGGTCTAACTAGTGTGGGCATAGGGCTCCTGTCAGCCAAAGGCAGTTGTTCAGAGAAAGGGTGGCAGCTATGAACTATTAGCAGCCTGCTCTCTCTGCAGCTGGAAGATGGCTGCACCTACAGCCAAAGGGGATCTGAGTGGAACACCAACAGGACTCACTGTATCCAGTGTCTTATGTTAAATAAACTTGATAAGGAATCTCATTTGCTCTCAGGTGCTGAAATCTTAAGGAATTCTTAAACTAGTGTGTTTGTAGATGATATCAAGTGGCAAATTAATCCCAATCAAAAGGAGAACTCAGCATGTGGTTGGGGCAGAAACATTGAAAGAGATAGCCTTGGGCAGGGCAGTTGAGTGGGGGCAGCAGTCTGAGTCTGGAGGCAGTGACAGTGTTTTGCAAAAGTTCTGTCAGAGCTTACCCTTCTCTCCTTGGCTGTGAATTCTCAGCTTCGTCTGGGGAGGAGGGTATTTCCTAGGGCACAGTGATTGTAAATATCCCAGCGTGTGCATCCTGGCCTTGAGCCAGATATGTAAAAACCCAGGGTTCAGCATCCCGTCACCAGTAGAGCAAATTCTACAGAGACAGCCCTTGCCTCCATCGTCGGTCTCCTCAGCCCCCAGGGCAAAACAGCTGAGGCATCTTAAACATTAAGGCAACATCTCTGCCCCCACCCCATGTTGAGCCTACCTCTGCTTATTCTTTATGTCTCTGGGAGTCGGGTAGGGGATAAGACAGCACCCGGCAGGGTTTAAGAAAGCGAAGGGGCTTTGTATGTGCTCCGAGTTCTCCTGTGGCCGCCTCTGCATTTAGAGAGAGAGGACTCCTGGAGGTTGTGCCCAAGCTTGTGGAATTTTCTCCTCACGCTCTGACCAGCTGTTTAAACCCAGGGAAAGGAGGCAAGGTAAGGTGGAGATGGGGTGGGTGTTTCTGCTGATGGGGCAGTTTTCCCAGGCTCCAGCCACCAGAAGTGGTGTTGGGTCTTCTACTGCCCCTTAACTAGGCTGAGTATGAGGGAGATGGATTTTCTGAGTTTCTTCAGTTCAGCTGGATTTTGTAGATTCTTCTCTCAGATCTTATCAAGGAAGAAAAGAACAGTCAAACCTGGCAACAGCCTTACTCTGGCAGTTAAGAAAGACTCCGAGTGATGGGACCTCACATGCCAGCCTACCACTCATCTGAGCTAGGCCTCTGGTTGACAACAGCTGTGAAACTCCTTCTTCCATCTCTAGGTTGAAGAGAGAGAGAACCAGGCCTGCTGGGCAGGAGTTGGACAAATCAGGGTGGAGTGGGGCCTCACTTTAGAGAGGGAACATGGGAGAGATTTGCTCTGCAGGTGACTGGGTGGATGGTGGGGTCCTTATTAACAATGGCTCCCTGGGGCGCCTGGGTGGCTCAGTCGTTAAGCGTCTGCCTTCGGCTCAGGTCATGATCCCAGGGTCCTGGGATCAAGCCCCGCATCAGGCTCCCCGCTCCGCGGGAAGCCTGCTTCTCCCTCTCCCACTCCCCCTGCTTGTGTTCCCTCTCTCACTGTGTCTCTCTGTCAAATAAGTAAAATCTTTAAAAAAAAAAAAAAATGGCTCCCACCTAAACTGAACACTTACTGCAGGTGGCTCCACGCAGACTTCCTAGGTATGATCACATCACGCTCAAAGGAGCCCTGGTAGGGAGAAATGATTATTCACCACATTGTACAGCAGAAGAAACTGAAGCCAGGGGACAAAAAGCAGCTTGTCCAAAGTGGCACCGCAAAAGAAAAGTGGCACCAGGAGCCCCAGTGCTGACTAGGGCCCTTCCTCAGCTCAGTTTTAACTTCTAGCATTTCCTTTCTATTTGGTTTTCCCATTTTGAAGGTTTTTGGAAGTGGTTGGCTTCTCTGCAGTGCTGGTGCCTTTGGTTTTTATTTTCTTTCTTCCTGTGGACAGTGTGAACTTGGCCTTCACAGCCCTGCTCAGTCCACTTCCCTTGTTCTCCTCCATGGGGGCCTTGTGTCTATCAGTGTCTCAGAGTTGAACTAACTTGTATTTTGTGTAGTATGTTTCACACCAGCTCTGGCTCTAAATGCATCTTCTCTAGAAAAGGACTATAACCCAATATTGCAAAGAGAATTAATTTTTGCCTCTTTCTCTCTCTCTACCTCTCTCCTTCTCTTCCCCTCCCCTCCCCACATTCCAGTCCTGTTTCAAAGGAAGAGCTTATCTCCATCCCAGAATTTTCACCAGTAAGTGAAATGATTCCTGGGGTGTCTCTGGACCAAAATGGAACTGGTAATGCCCGAGCACTTCAAGATCTCTTAGATTTCACCGGCCCCCCCATGTACCCCAAGCGATCCAGTGAAAATCTCAGCCTGGATGACTGTAACAAAAACCTGATTGAAGGATTTAACAGTCCTGGCCAAGAAAATACTCTGAACACCTTCTGTTGACAAATACATCTCTTTAATGAAAGGTACAGTACAGTCTTTTGATTATAGTCTAAATTTATACCTCTCCAACTGGGGTTTGTGAAGGTGGGATAAACATCACTCAGTCTCTTGGATGGTCAGTTTTATTTGAAAAATACAAACGTGAACATGAATAGGGGTGTGACCCATTTTTCAAAAGTTCTGCACTATGCCAAATGTAGTTTACAAAAGACCTACATTAGTATCTGTTTATATTAACTGAAAGTAATCCAAAGAGGGTTTCACTCTTACAAAAAAAAAGACAAAATGTGAAAATAGTATTCAGTGTTCATCTTGGAGCCAGCTGTTACAGAAGCATGAGAGTGGTGAGAGAGTAGCTCCGCCAAGCTCCTTCCTGAGAACTGCACTCGGCATTCAGCTGCCATAGCTTTGCACTGTCTGTGAGCGTCTGTGCTTTATCTCCATTTATTTTGCACATCCATTGGCAAGATGTGTCCTAAAGTATCAGAAAAGCCTAAGGTTATTTTTGAGCCTGGAAATGCTCAAAAATTTTTTCATGTAAGTTACTGGTAATTGCTTTTTCACCTTATGCCATTACAGAAGGTTTCATAGGAAGGTTCTTTCAGATGGGGGGAAAACCTGTACATAGTATATACTGCAACACATACACAATAATCAAGATGGATTTCAAGTAAATCCTTTGTATGAGAGCCTTCATTGCCACACTCCACCATGCCTGCCCCTGCTGTTCAGGGTTTGTGGATGGGTGTTGAGAAGCACTGCTTAAAGTTTGACCAGCCATCTGTCTGGAGTAGCACCATTTTTAGAGGCAAAGAGAGAATGCTGTAATAGTGGTGCAAGGTGGGTTTTGTTTTCTTTTGTTTTAGATTTTTTATTTATTTGACACAGAGGGGGAGAGAAGGAGAGAGCAAGCACAAGCAGGGGAAGCAGCAGGCAGGGAAGAAGCAGGCTCCCTGCTGAGCAAGGAGCCTGATGTGGGGCTCTATCCCAGGACCCTGGGATCATGACCTGAGCCAAAGACAGATGCTTAACCGACTGAGCCACCCAGGCGCCCCACAAGGTGGTATTAATAAAATGAATGTCTCCCCTAGTTTTACTCAGTGACATTCCACATTCTATCTGCAGTCGTTTATATATATACAGTGATGAGCATTAGGCCAAACGATTTGCTGTTCTATTGACCTTTTATTTTTATTTATTTATTTTTAAAGATTTTATGTATTTATTTGACAGAGAGAGACAGTGAGAGAGGGAACACAAGCAGGGGGAGTGGGAGAGGGAGAAGCAGGCTCTCCGCTGAGCAGGGAGCCCGATGAGGGGCTCGATCCCAGGACCCTGGGATCATAACCTGAGCCGAAGGCAGACACTTAACGACTGAGCCACCCAGGCGCCCCTTGACCCATCTTTTAAAGCAAACATTTATTCTTGGATCACACCTGAGGGAGTGGAGGAATGGAGAACTGAAGTTTGTGTCCCAAAGCTTTTGTTCCCCGCCTTTGGCCTTTTTTATTGCCAAAATGGGTTATAAACACTCTGCATTTGTGTGACTTAGTTATACATACCTCACATTGGATTTACTTCAGTTGGGGGCTTATTTGTTTTTGATGATGAAAACAATTAGAATCTATCATCAAATCCTTTCATAACTTAATTCCAATTGTCCTCCCACTTTAGACTCTTCAAAACATTTTTTTAAAAGATTTTATTTATTTGACAGAGAGAGACATAGCGGCAGCAGGAACACAAGCAGGGGGAGTGGGAGAGGGAGAAGCAGGCTTCCCGTTGAGCAGGGAGCCCGACGCGGGGCTCGATCCCAGGACCCTGGGATCATGACCTGAGCTGAAGCCAGATGCTTAATGACTGAGCCACGCAGGCGCCCCTCTTCAAAACATTTTTATATTCTCAGCACACTCTCACTTTCTTTTTTAAAAATTTTATTTAAATCCAACTAATTAACATATCATTAGTTTCAGAGGTGGAGTTCAGTAATTCATCATTTGCATATAAAAGCCAGTGCTCGTTACATCACGTGCCCTCCTTAATGCCCATCACCCAGTTACCCCATCCCCCCACCCACCTCCCTTCCAGCAATCTTCAGTTTGTTTCCTAGAGTTAAGTGTCTCTTATGCTCCACTCCTATAACACAACTTCAGTGCCTGATATGATATAGTCCAACCTTTCTGTTTCTCAAATGAAGAAACATGGGGTTCCTGGATGGCTCAGTGAATAGAGCATGCAGCTCTTGATGATGGGGTTGTGAGTTCAAGCCCCATGTTGGGCATAGAGCCTACTAAAAAGAATATTAAAGTCTATTTTGGGGCACCTGCCTGGGTCAGTCAGAAGAGCACGAGACTCTTGATCTCAGGGAGTTTGAGCCCCATGTTAGGTGCAGAGATTACTTAAGTAAAATCAAATGAGGAAACAGGTTGGGGAGGCCACATGACCAAGGTCACTGTATTTTGTATACATCTTCCTGTGCTCAGCTTTCGGCTGTAGACAGTGCATCTCTTCTCTTGACTCTTGGGAAAGAAGTTGTGGCCCTTTCACACATGAAAGGGAATGCATGGCAGGTAATTTTTAGAATAAACCATGTCCCTAGAGAGTATTATGCTAAGTGAAATAAGTCAGCAAGAGAAAGACAAATACCATATGATTTCATTCATATGTGGAATTTGAGAAACATAACAAGCAAAAGGGGGAACAAAAAGGCAAACCAAGAAACAGACTCTCTTTTTTATTGTTATGTTAGTCACCATACAGTACATCATTAGTTTTTGATGCAGTGTTCCATGATTCATTGTTTGCGTATAACACCCAGTGCTCCATGCAAGACGTGCCCTCCTTAATACCCATCACCGGGCTAACCCATCCCCCCACCCCCCTCCCCTCTAGAACCCTCAGTTTGTTTCTCAGAGTCCATAGTCTCTCATGGTTCATCTCCCCCTCCGATTCCCCCCTCCTTCATTTTTCCCTTCCTTCTCCTAATGTCCTTCATGCTATTGAAACAGACTCTGAACTCTAGAGAACAAACTGATGGTTACCAGAAGGGAGGTGGTTGGGGGGATGGGTGAGACATGTGATGGGGATGAAAGAGGGCACTCGTGCTGATGAGCACAGGGTGATGTAAGGAAGTGTTGAATCACTATATTGTACACCTGAAACTACCAGTACACTGTATGTTAACTGAATTAAAACCTTTAAAAAGAATGGGATAGAAATAAACATATATAAGCATGTGTTTTGTTAGTTGTTTGTTTTGACTGCATTTGGCTTCTTAAATAAGTTCTCTTCTGAAAGCTTAAAATGTGTTGGGGGGTTTTTGTTGTCATAATGGCTGGGGGCAGCACTGCCATTTAGAAAGCAGAGTTCGGGACATTAAGCATCCTGCAGGTTTTAGGACAGTCCCACCCAAAGAGAATTTGGCCACTTAATAGAATAGACCTACCCAAAATGCTGTAGCACCTCAGTTGAAACATACTTTATGAGCCAAGGAAAATATAATTACCAAGAAGGTATAAAGTCCCAGACAGTGTGATCATTGTAGTGAGAGAGAATGGGTACAACGTGGTCTCTTCATTGATTTCACGTGGTTTTGTTTTTGAATTGACACAGGTGGTGTTTGGAGAACCCATGAAGCTGCTGGTAGTCAAATCCAAGCTGCTGGTCCTCTGAAGAAGCTTCTTTTGTCCTAAATCCCTGGATTCCAAATTATTAGATCAAAATGTAACTGTATATTCCTAGTTAGTATATCAAACACTGGCCACTCTTGATAGAAACCTTGAAACATTGCCCTTGTTGGGCTTTAGCAAAGTTTCATGTTACAGTTCTATTTATGAGCTTCAGCTGCTGATAAAGCACTTCCTGTACTACTTTATTATCATAGTGATCCCCTGAATAGCCCAGGTGATTCTGTGTTGGAAATTCACCTTATAACTGTTCTTATTCCCAAAGTTGGAGTACATAAACATGTAGATGTCTTTTCCTATAAATATTCTAGACATTAACCCAGACTCTACTTAAACATATATACTGAACTTGGGCTGCTTATCTCCTTGTCTGTGTTTAGAAGAAGAAATTCCAGAGGGTTTTCCCCCTTCTCTGGGGTTTCTTTGTTGGAAGTTACTATCAAGAAGCTTTTTTTTAATATATTAAGCTTAGCCACCTGTAAAATGTGTTGCCCCACATTACTCCTTGGGGACCTAACAGAATAAGTCTGGTTGATTATGGAAACAAGCACTGCGGAATGATTTCTGTTCACTTATGCATTTTCTTATAGACGTAGGTACTTCAGTCTAGCAAGAATCTTGTCGTTGCACCTTAAAAAATCTCCAAGCCATTGAGTAGCTTTTGGACCGAAGAAGTTTGAATGAATTGTGTGTCTCATGCACAGGTGGTTGGTTTTCATGTTGTTGCTATTGCTTTTCTCTTGGATCTTGGGGCCCTTGTTTGTTTGCTCCTGTGTTTGCTCAACTCTGATGAAGCCAGGCACAAGTGAAAATGATAGTGCTCTGGAACAAGGAGGCCCTGAACTGGACCCAATATATCACTTTAATAGACTTCAACATAAAAACATCTGAACGGGGGACAAATGACACTAGAATGTATACTCCGTGTGTTTCATGCACATTTTCAAAACACATATAATAATGTGTTTTCTTAGTTTTATTTCTTGTGGTAAAATGTGACTTTCAAATTAAAATGACCTTTCTTTGAAACTTTTTTTTGACTTGTACAATAAAGCATTTGGAGAGATCCATAATTTTGACTGAGGTTTGCAACCAGGAGATAAAAAGAAGTCTCAATAGTAATCTTGTTCATGTGCTTTTAAAACCAGCTACAGTTTAAGACTTTATTAGTTATGGAAACTGTGTATGTGTATATATTAAATAAAATACATGCCTCCAGTAATGCAGTGCCATTGATCTTGATGCGTATCAGGGGAAATTCCCTTTTATGACAAGCACACAGAAAATGATAGCATGGTCTGACTTTCAAAAAATGCCTCACCATCTTTCTTACAGCTTTATTTTGCTAAATGTTTGTTTTGTTGTGATCCGTTGTACCTCACAGCACCATTGTGACCATGGTGATGCCTCATTTGCATGATGTGTACGTTGTGTTTAACATGAAATACATTTTCATTGAAAAGTCTGATGGCTTGCTAGTGTTCTGTTTCTGTAGGCTAAGTGAAGAAATGTTCTGAAACCAAATCACATTTTTTAAAAACCTATGTGGAGAAAAACCAAAAATCCTGTGTTGGTGTCCTTTCCTTGTCAAACTCATTAAAATTTCTCTGTTGTCAGTTCCAAGTGCAGCCAACTGTGGAAATAAGCTTAAGTGTTGAGCTGTCCCCAGGACAAGATGAACTTCTAGGTACAGTAAAGTTGCTGTACTTTTATACCACTGATGTAGGTAATTCTAGCTAGCTAAGATGCGGTTAACCTTAGTGTAATCCACAAAAACATTCCACATAGCAATCTGGCATTTAAACAATTATAATGGGTATGGTGACCCTTATTTTCCAGTAAGCTAAACCCAGACCAGCTTTTTTTTTTTGTATCTGATTCACGGCTTGTCTATATAGCCTGGGAGACAGTACCAGCCAAGACCAAGAGCCAGGAGGGCAGAACTGGAATGGGAATGTTGGAACCCTCATGATAACTTTCTGGGCTGCCGTCTCTGAAGCCAGGGATCCAGTCAATGCAGCCCACCTCAGCTCTGCTGACAAAACCTCTGTTGAGTGCCCAGGAGTGGACATTCTCTTTCCCTATGCTGGTCTTTGACAGTGGCATTACAAGTAGCTTCTGTCATCTTGAGCCCTGGCCACAGGTCGTGGTGGTGGCCAGTCACTCCTAAGAGCAATTTTTATTTTATGAACGTTCTAAATTTTTCTCAGTATGTACAGGTTTTCTACTAGTCAAATGCTTTGTAAACTAAATTTGGAAAGCAAATGTAAAGAACTATTTTGTTTCTAGAGGTGCATGGGGGCACATTACCCATTTGGGGGCACAACACAGAGTGACCTCCATCCCCACTCTTCAGTATTGTTCAAGAAACACAATCATGTGAGAAAGTAGAGTGAGAATGCTTAGAAACGGAAAAGAGAAGCCTTTACAGATAGTGTTTGGGGGCGGGGCAGACCCAAAGAGAAACAAGTGAAAAACTCTTACAATATTTTCACAGATGAGCCAACTACTAAAGAAAAATCAGTAGTTTTCTTACACATTAACAATTAATAGGAAATTGATGTGAAGAAAACTCAGAAAATTCCTGGAAATAACAAGCTATATCTAAAACTTGATCGGGGGACATTAGATGTGAATGGAAAGACATGTCATGTCACCAGGTGGGAAAACTGTGTGTGAAGTAGACTAATAGTAGGTAGCCCTCACATTTGTGCAGTATTCATAAATTAAATCAAGTCCCAGTCACTGGAATTTCTTTTTTTGCAATTTGTAAATATAATTATACAGTACATGTAAGAAAGTAAACACAAAGCTAAGAAGCTTTAAAAAATGAGCTTTTAAAAAGGGAGAATTTCCCTGAACAAATAGCTAAATATTATAAAACTTCCGTAACTAAAACAGCATAGTCTGATAAATAGATTTTGGAATCGAAAATAGACATCAGGGGCGCCTGGGTGGCTCAGTTGGTTAAAGCGACTGCCTTCGGCTCAGGTCGTAATCCTGGAGTCCCGGGATTGAGTCCCGCATCGGGCTTCCTGCTCAGCGGGGAGTCTGCTTCTCCCTCTGACCCTCTTCCCTCTCGTGCTCTCTATCTCTCTATTCTCTCTCTCTCTCAAATAAATAAAATAAAAAAATCTTAAAAAAAAAATAGTCATCAGTGACATACCCAAGAGACATAAGAATATAATGTATGATGGCGCAGGGGTGGACTATTTCTTCCTGTGGAAAGAGAGCATTTGGTTTAATGTCTCCTGAGGTTCAACTGAGTTTAGTATCTCTGGTGGGATGTGAATAAGGGCCCAGAAGTCAATGAGTAGATTATAAAGACAGGATCAGGGTCCAAGGTTGGGTACCAGTTTTGGTTCAAGGTTTAATTCAGGGGAAAATTTAGGCACAAGGCTTGGGACGAGCCTCTAAAGATCTTGAACAGATGCCCAATCATGATCTCAAGAGGTGAGAAGCAGTGGCCTCTACTCGCCATGGTTTAAGCTGCTTCTGCAGGAATGTACCTGAAGAGCAATACATTCTCAGTTCCTGCTGTACGTGAGGTGGTCCTAAGACTTCTCCAAGTTATGAGGTAGGTAGGAGAGGGTTACTTCCTTGAGGACAGAGAGCTAGAACTTGACAGAGCTGGGGTTGACTCCAGGGCCCCAGCTTTGGTACCTCCAGGGGAGTTGACAGGTTCTTCTGCCCCTGAGAGCAGCAGAAGCACTTTTGCTAGAGCAGGTGCTTACAGCTGAGAAGGGCCAGGACCCGCATGGGGAATCCTAGTTCTGAGTGTGCTTTAAAAAAAAATTTTGAGATATCTTTCACATACTATAAAAAGTATCCCCCTTTTGTACAACTCCATCTTTGATTTATTCACAAAGTTGTGCAACTATCACCACTATCTAATTTTCATTTGAGTATGCTTTTGTAAGTGTGTCTTATCCATCCATTCACTCAAAGCAGCAGAGCTTGGTTGTATTATTAGTTCATGTCCCCATTGTACCTAGAAGCAAGAACATGGGATTTGAAAGTAGTATTCCCTGAACCAATCACTTCCCCATCTTTCTGTCCTAACAGGCCAGATTAATGTGTTTATGTAACCTGATTTATGTGGGCTATTTTGTGTTGTTTCACATTCTCTGTGCATAAATATTGGATCAAATGCCCAAAACAGACTCAGATGCCCAGTGTGGGCCTTCTAAGTTGAAGAGAAACATGGAGTGGGTGAAACAATTAAAATGCTTTGAAAATTCTGAACCCTTGAAGACATACATGCCTTTAACAGTGACCATCAGATCTAGTGGGCGTGGAATGGCTCTACTTGTTCTTGTTTTCGGGACAGATGGCCCATGTTAACCAGGAGGGAAATATTTTTCTTTTTTGACCCTAAGATCCAGGTCGGGGTCCAAGACAGTGGGCACTCCACACACGGTGGAGAGAAATCACCCTTGCTGCAGCCCAGAGCCTGAGAGTCACCTTGCAAAAGGCAGAGGGAGCCGGTAGGCTTCAGATGTGACACCTAGAGACTTCACTCCCCACCCCTCCCTTCAGCTGTGCAGTAAATAAGAGAGAAGCTTCTATGAAGCAGTTAGGAAATGCCAAAGTTTAATCCTTCCAATTGGCTCTGAGGGATGGTTGATGTTAGGGAAAAAAGTCTAAAGTGACCAGCCTTCTGGACTTCTAAGATAGTATTAAGGCAGGTTTTCCCCATGTCCCCTTATCTCAGGAAATGCAAAACACAAGGAATAGAGTTCCAAGGAATTGAACCTTTGTGTAAAATTAACTTCTTCAAATTAGAGCCAACAGCCCTGTTGACTGTACTTGTCTTTTAATCACATTTTCCTAACAGCGTGTGTATGCTCATCTTTGAAACAACCAGAAAGTTGTCAACAAAGAAGTGGTAGCTAAGAAGGGGCTAGGTCACGCACAGTAGACGTATGGAGAGCTTGTTGGAATGAATGTGGTCCCCAGGGTGGGATGCAAATGTTGTTTTAGAACAAACAGAATCTTGCTGGTACCACCGGAAGGAAAGAATAAATTTCATTTGCTCAGGGGACCTGACCTTCGGAAAGGTTCTCAGGG